CCCCCCCCTGTCTGTACGCCTGTATTTTACTCTGCTGTAATGCCTAAGCCAAACAACTGGAGGATGTCTGGGGGAGTTCGCTTTATTGCCGGCTTGTTGCTTTTAGAGCCTGGGAACTGCACCTGTATTATGTCTTTTATCTCTGTCCAGTTGCTAAAACCCCCCCCCCTGTCTGTACGCCTGTATTTTACTCTGCTGTAATGCCTAAGCCAAACAACTGGAGGATGTCTGGGGGAGTTCGCTTTATTGCCGGCTTGTTGCTTTTAGAGCCTGGGAACTGCACCTGTATTATGTCTGGAGATAGACTGGTTCTCAGGGAATGAGCGCGCAACCGTTTCCTTTCACCTGCCAGTGGGAACGTGACCCATTGGTTCTGTACCTGTTTCTTGCCTCCATAACCATCTGTTCCGGTCCGGAATAGGCCCAGCAAGGGAGGGAGGGCACACACGTGTTCCCACGGCCGCTCTCGGCGGGGCGGGACTGGGGCCGGGCGGCTTCCTTCGTCGGCTCTCTTCCGCTTCGGGTAAGGGGCAGCCGCTGGCGCTGGCCATAACGGAGGCTTGGGAGGGCGAGGGGTGGGGGGGAATTTCGGGGGGGCGCCAGCCCCCCAGCCCCCGCGAAGATTACGCCGGTGTTAACCACTACACCAAACTGGCTACACCGAACAGTAGGCATGTCACGCAACAGAGCTTCTGGCTCCTGGAACGTCCCTGTTAAGTTGACTACTTAACAAAGAGTCAGAGAGTGATTTAAGCAAGTGATTCAGCTTTAATAAACCCAACCAGAACAGAACAACCAGAACAGCTTTTGCATTGTAGCTGTGCTTCTTTTAAACTCTCCTAGCTAATGTAGCCACGCCCTATTGTACATTACAACCAATAGGATTGTCAAGATAAGGTCCAATCACAGATGTTCCAGCTCAGCGAACTGGATGGTAGGTGATTGGTCAGCTCTTCCAGGGCTACCAATAGGGATTGAATGATTAGGATCCTTGCCCAGGACGAAGCTTCACATGGTGTTTCAATTAGTGATTACAAACACAGTTTTCCATTGCATTGAATACACCACAGTCCCCCCACCTCCCTATACAGTTGCCACACACACACACCCTCCTGTGGGGATGGAAGATCCCCCACTCCCAGCCTATGTCTTCCAGTACCTCTCTGAGCCATCAACTGAGTATGATGTAACTTCTGGGGAAATCACACCTCTCTAGGAATTGACCAAAACTCTAGAGTGGACTGATGTCACTTCTGTCCACCCCCTCTCCCTTGGAAGTGATGTCAGTTCTCTCTCAGGATTGCCAGAAACAGTATGGTTCCTAGAGGGATGTAACAACACTTCTAGTTTTTCCTGGAAGTGATGTCACACGGTTGACCTAAGGCCACGCCCCCATGTCCCCACCCCTCAGTCTTCCACTGGTTGCCAGGCCAGGCTGGCAGCCCTAATATGTAGTTAGCTACTGCATGGTCAAATGTGACTTTGCACTACATGGGGTCATATTTTGGCACCACAAAGTCTCTAGAGAACTGCACCACTCCTGTTCTGCATTTTCTGTTCTGTTGGCTTGCATGGAATACAATGCCTTGTAAGGGTAGTGTCTCATTGTTCCCAATGCCATTTTATGAAATCCTCAAGCTTTCTGAAACAAAACCCACTAGGGGTGTGGTAGTATGGAAACAGTGCAGAGCAACTGACTTTTAATTTAGGAGCAAGCATGGGAAATGAACTGATCCAGTTAGATAATGTTTTTAATATGTTTTGTAGCATTTGGGGGTCCAATTAGGACCCCCGACCTGTAAACTGGAAGCTTTGTCTCTGAAGCAAACCAGTCAATATCAGTCAGTTGCGTACATGGAATTCATACAAGCAAAATGAGGATATGTATTTCAAGGGATAGAAAAAATGCCTTGTGATGCTGGCAGAGGCCCAGTAAACTAGAAACATCAACCTTACAAGAACACAGCCCACTAGGCCTTTCCCAGGCACAGTGCTGGAGATGCTAAGCCTGTTACCTTAAAACACCCTGTTCCTTGGCTTGTTACCAAGAAGCAAAGGGCCCTTGGCCAGAGTCTCCTACGGAGTTCTGAGCCATGACAGTAGATCGCTGTTGACAGAGGTCTATTGTGTCGGCAAGGCGGTGTGTTGGTTCTCTGGCAGCCCATCCATCTGTAAAACCACATGTGGCCACTCAGACCAGGAGTATGTTTCCAGGCAAACTTGTATCTAGCTAGGGGGATGGCTTAGGGACATGAAAAATACAGTAGAAGACAGAGTCAGGATACAGGGTGATCTTGATATGCAGATATGCAGATACAGGGTGATCTTGACAGGCTGGAAAACTAGGCTAAAACAAATAAAATGAATTTCAGTGGGGATAAATGTAAAGTTCTGCATTTAGGTAAGGTAAAAAGGTAAAGGTATAGGTTCCCTTGCTCGAAAGCCAGTCGAATCCGACTCTAGGGTTGCGGTGCTCATCTCCGTTTCAAAGCCGAAGAGCCAGCGCTGTCCGAAGACGTTTCCGTGGTCATGTGGCTGGCATGACTAAAAACCAAGGCGCACGGAATGCTGTTACCTTCCCACCGAAGTGGTACCTATTTATCTACTTGCAATTTCTTGCTTTCGAACTGCTAGGTTAGCAGGAGCTGGAACTAGAGATGGGAGCTCACTCCATCATGCGGCACCCGGGTCTTGAACTGCTGAACTACTGACCTTCCACAGCCTGCAGTTCAGCGTCTTAACCACTTGAGCCACCGCAGCTCCTTTTCATTTAGGTAGGAAATATCAAATGCATAATTAAAGGTTGGGGAAGACTTGTTTTAGCAGTAACATGTGCGAAAAGGATCTAGGGGTCTTAGTAGACCATACAGTGAACATGAGTCAGCAGTATAATGTGGTTGCTAAAACGGCAAATGCGATTTTGGGCTGTATAGTGTACAGATCACACAAAGTGATGGTACCATTTTACTCTGCTCTGGTTAGACCTCCTCACCTAGAGTACTGTGTTCAGTTTTGGGCACCACAGTTTAAGAAGGATACAGACAAGTTGGAATGTGTCCAGAAGAGGGCAACGAAGATGGTGAGGGGTCTGGAGACCAAGTCCTATGAGGGAAGGTTGAAAGAGCTGAGCTGTGGTCACATGTGCCAGATAATGTGTGTGTGTGGGGGGGCAAATAGAAGGGGAAGTCGTGGAAGCAGTGACAGAATTCACGTTCCTGGGATCCAAGATCACTGCAGACAGTGACTGCAGCCATGAAATTAAAAGACTCCTGCTCCTTGGGAGGAAAGCGATGGCGAACCTCAACAGCATAATAAAAAGTAGAGACATCACCCTGCCAACAAAGGTCCGCATGGTCAAAGCAATGGTATTCCCAGTAGTCATGTATGGCTGCGAGAGTTAGACTATAAGGAAGGCCAAGCGCAGAAGAATAGATGCTTTTGAATTAGGGTGCCAGTGAAGACTCTTGATCCCTGGCCAAAGCAGCTTGGAGAAAAATTGCTTCCTGACCCCAAAGTGGCAATCAGCATTCCCCTGGGTGTGTAAGAAAGGGCCACGAGAACTGAGCACTGAGGCAACCCTTCCTGCCCTCCCTCTCATAAACCACCTAAGTTCACAGAATCTGCATTGCTGCCAGGTGCCATCTAGCCTGTGTTTGAAAACCTCCAGAGGAGGAGAGCCCACCACCTCCCGAGGAAGCCTGTTCCACTGAGGAACCGCGCTAACTGTCAGGAAGTTCTTCCTAATGTTTAGCCGAAAACTGATTTAATTGGGGTTAAAATGTACCAAATAAATGAATGCAGTGGGGTATAATGGCCCACCTTCCAAAGCGGTCATTTTCTCAGGGGGAACTGATCTCTGCCGCCTAGAGATCAGTTGTGATGTGGGGGGGGGTCTCCAGCCACCACCTGGAGGTTGGTGACCCTAACACTGGGTGACCATGGGTGAGTCATTCTCCTGCAACTCTCTCTACATCATAGGGTTCTTGTGAGGCAAGAATGGAGGAGGGGATTGAAAAGTACTGGGTTTGCCGCATGGAGGACTCGGACGACGACATGAGCATGCACACGTTTATTGTACTTAACACAAGACTAACTAAAAACGGCCCTGCCGGGCCAACTATATACACACCCACCCAGCACAGCCTTAGTCCATTGGAGGGTTTGAATTTCCCGCCAGAGTGGCTATTGGTCGGGGCTGGGGGGAACTAGGATCCTACGTTCCTATTGTCCAGGGGAGCCAAGCTCCAGTCTTTGCTGCGGACCCCTAGTGCCGGTCCACGTACATAACAGGGATAACTATGTATGCTGCCCTGGGCTTTTTGGAGGGAGGTCACGTTAGCCTGTCTGTAGCAGTAGAAAAGAGAGCAAGAGTCCAGTAGAACCTTAAAGACTAACAAAATTTGTGGCGGGGTGTATGAGCTTTCCTGAGTCACTGCTTCAGAAATGGAAGAATAATGTCTGCATCTATTTCCATGTTGGTGTTTTTCTGCCTCAGGAGATATCTGTCTGCAATCTACATCTAAGGCAGTGTCCTGTTGAGATTTGCATCCCATTCTTTCCCTCTCTCTCTCTCTCTCTTTTTGAGAGCCAAAACTAATAGCTCTGAGAACTCGTACTAATCAGCCTGTAACATTCCTCCGTTCACTGATTTCCACACACAAACAAAAAACATCTTTCAACTTGGCTGTTTTTCTTCTAGCTCTGGAGTACATGAGGCCTTTTACAGCAGTCCCGTCTTACCGCCTCTTTCTCCTCAACACTTGATTTCTAGATTTGAACCGTCAAACCCAGTAGAATCACCCCACCGCCGCCACCACCCCAGGCTTGTTCCTGTGTTGTAAACATGGAGATTTCTTGGCACAGAGAGAAAGTGATGGTCAAAGATTTACCTGCTACGTTTCTGCCTATTGGATTGGTTTTAAGTGCATCAGAACGGGGATATTTTTATTTGAGAGTTGTTGTGTACTAACTAAGACCGTGCATGCGGTCGGGTTCGCACGTGGTCATGCAAACTAGCAGAGCTTCGCGACTATAACACACTAGATAGAGAGGATCCTAGAACAGGCCAATCAGTCAGTCCGGATCCCCGAAGGAACCTATGGGTGTGGGTGCAGTGTAAATAAACCAATCACAGGTGTAGGTGTGTGTGTTGGGCGTGGCATGAAACTGGCATTTAAGCAGGCCCTGGTTCCTGCTGGAGCATCTCAGTCTTCTCCTGCCTTAATAAACTATGAACTGATTCACTAACACACGTCTGGACCCAGTACTTTTGCAAAGTACTCGTAAACGGGGAGTGATTCAGCAAAGAGTACTTTATTAGTGAGGAACAAGACAAGGAACCCCGGCACGCAGGCCGGTATATATGCTCAGAAACCCACCACCAAAACACACCCCCTAGTGACCCTATAGGTTATTTACAGGGGCCGAGAGTCCCATTGGCTCTCGGCCGCGGACCTGGCCCTCTGGTTGGTGCGGGCTAGGATCCGCTCCGCTATTGTTCTGCAGGAGCGAAGCTCTGGGCTTGTGCTTGACCGCATGGCCCAACGGTCGCGCACGTGGTAATGGCGGATACATTACATTGGCCGAGAGTCCCATTGGCTCTCGGCCGCGGACCTGGCCCTCTGGTTGGTGCGGGCTAGGATCCGCTCCGCTATTGTTCTGCAGGAGCGAAGCTCTGGGCTTGTGCTAGACCTCATGGCCCAACGGTCGCGCACGTGGCAATGGCGGATACATTACACCCCTCCCCCCATAGTCCAGGCTACCCGCACACAAAGTCCTGTAGGTGTGTTGGGGGTTTCCGAGTCCTCGTGGAGCGGCGTGGTTCCGGGGCGCCTGTCGGATGTACCTCGGGAGCCCGGGGCGGGGAGATTGGTTGTGGCGTTGGTAGTGGCAGCTCCGGAGGCTCTGGGTTGGCCTGGACGGGGACGGAGTCTGGGACCTGTCGCGCTGGCTC